AGGTGTATACCAGGGTTGGGAGGACAACGACTTTATAGACAAGCACCTTGGTCTCCCTTCGAATATGCCGGTCTTCAAACACTCTCTGCTTGATTCGGAGGAATGCTGCACTCGCAGAGCTCAGGCGGTGTCATATTTCAGTGACAATGTTGACCACATTTCGCAGGTGTATAACAGGGTTGGGAGGACAACGACTTTATAGACAAGCACCTTGGTCTCCCTTCGAATATGCCGGTCCTCAAACACTCTCTGCTTGATTCGGAGGAATGCTGCACTCGCAGAGCTCAGGCGGTGTTATGTTTCAGTGTCAATGTTGACTTTTGTGGAGAGGTGTCTGCCAAGGGAGCAGAAACGGTCAACATTTTCTAATGTTACACTATTTAGCTGTATTTTAGGATTGGAGAGGGATTGCTGGTGACTTCTGGAAGAGTACTTTGGTTTCTCGCTTCTCATATGTTTCTGCGAAGGTGTTTAGAGTGGCTTGGAGGTCTTCTTCCAAATGCGCACAGACGACATTATCATCAGCATATTGGAGTTCTATAACAGACGTCGTAGATCTTCTTCTGTGTGGCTTGGAGGTCATAATACTACAACTCTTATGAATGCATTCACAACACTACGCCATGGCATGTGTCCAAATGCATTCATTCTTCAGTGTAGATCAGGCATGTGCAAACTTTGGGTATCTAGGTGTTTTGGACTCCAAGTCCCACCATTCCTAACAGCCTCAGGCCCTTTCCTTTGGCCCCTCAGCCGCTTAAGCGGCTGAGGGTCCAAAGGAAAGGGCCTGAGGCTGTTAGGAATGGTGGGACTTGGAGTCCAAAACACCTGGAAGGAAGGCCAAAGTTTGCCCATGCCTGCTTTAGTTCCTACATTGTTGTCATACCTCTTTCTCTCTCTGTTTTTCAAAGAAGACATTTCAAAATGCAATGAATCACCATAGGAAAACTCTTCCTCTCTCTCTTATTTGCATTTCTTGACGAAAACAAATGGAAACTGCTGTCGTGGTGTCAATATTCCCGCTGCCGTGGGTGTCTGTGGAGGCGGTGGGATTTCCCCAAACCTCGCAGGGCTGTTGTGATGAGGACGGAGGTGGGAAGGAGAAGCATATATACCTCAATCTCCTCTAAAAAGGGTTATGGGAACGATAGTGTCCCAGAGTTCAGAATGATCTTTGATTATAGGTGGGCTATAAATCCCAACAACTACAACTCCCATATGACAAGGTCTATCTTCCCCATACTCCACCAGTGTTCACATTTGGACATATTGCGTATTCGTGGCAAGTTTGGTCCAGATCCATCATTGTTGGAGTCTAGTGTTCTCTGGATGTAGGTGAACTATAACTCCAAAACTCAAGGTCAATGCCCACCAAAACCTTCCAGTATTTTCTATTTGTCATGGGAGTTCTGTGTGCCAAGTTTGGTTCAATTCCATCATTGGTGGAGTTCAGGATGCTCTCGGATTGTAGGTGGAACTAGAAATCCCAACAACTACAACTCCCAAATGTCAAGGTCTGTTTTCCCCAAACTCCACCAGTGTTCACATTTGGACATACTGCGTATTCGTGGCACGTTTGGTCCAGATCCATCATTGTTGAAGTCTAGTGTTCTCTGTATGTAGGTGAACTATAACTCGAAAACTCAAGGTCAATGCCCACCAGACCCTTCCAGTATTTTCTGTTGCTCATGGGAGTTCTGTGTGCCAAGTTTGGTTCAATTCCCTCATTGGTGGAGTTCAAGATGCTCTTTGATTGTAGGTGGAATTAGAAATCCCAACAACTACAACTCCCAAATGTCAAGGTCTGTTTTCCCCAAACTCCATCTGTGTTCATATTTAGACATATTAAGTATTCGTGGCACGTTTGGTCCAGATCCATCATTGTTGGAGTCTAGTGTTCTCTGGATGTAGGTGAACTATAACTCCAAAACTCAAGGTCAATCCCCACCAAAACCTTCCAGTATTTTCTGTTGGTCATAGGAGTTCTGTGTGCCACGTTTGGTTCAATTCCATCATTGGTGGAGTTCAGAATGCTCTTTGATTGTAGGTGAACTATAAATCCAAGCAACTACAACTCCCAGATGACAAAATCAATCCAGCCCCAACCCCACCAGTATCATTCACATTGGTGGAGTTCAGAATGTTCTTTGATTGATTGTATAAATCCCAACAACTACAACACCCATATGACAAGGTCTATTTCCCCCCAAACTCCACCAGTGTTCACATTTGGACATATTGCGTATTCGTGGTACGTTTGGTCCAGATCCATCATTGTTGGAGTCTAGTGTTCTCTGGATGTAGGTGAACTATAACTCCAAAACCAAAGGTCAATGCCCACCAAAACCATCCAGTATTTTCTGTTGGTCAAGGGAGTTCTGTGTGTCACGTTTGGTTCAATTCCATCATTGGTGGAGTCCAGGATGCTCTTGGATTGTAGGTGGAACTAGAAATCCCAGCAACTACAACTCCCAAATGACAAAATCAGTCCCTTGCCCAACTCCACCAGTATTCAAATCTGGGTGTATTGGGTATTTGTGTCAAATTTTGTCCAGTGAATCAAAATACATCCTGAGTATCAGATATTTACATTAAGATTCATAGCAGTAGCAATGAAAATAATGTGATGGTTGGGGGTCACCACAACATGAGGAACTGTATTAAGGGGTCGCGGCATTAGGAAGGTGGAGAAACACAGTAGATTTCTAGCATAAGTTTTTACGGAGGTTCCTTTCTCTCAGTGCCTAGAATACTGGGGCAGGTATGTAGTTATGTCCACCTTTTTGTGGGCTTGACTTAGTAGCCTCTCCTGTCCTGGTCATAGAATCAAAGAGTTGGAAGAGACCTCCTGGGCCATCCAGTCCAACCCCATTCTGCCAAGAAGCAGGAATATTGCATTCAAAGCACCCCTGGCAGATGGCCATCCAGCCTCTGTTTAAAAGCCTCCAAAGAAGGAGCCTCCACCACACTCCGGAGCAGAGAGTTCCACTGCTGAACGGCTCTCACAGTCAGGAAGTTCTTCCTCATGTTCAGATGGAATCTCCTCTCTTGTAGTTTGAAACGATTGTTTTCCGTCCTAGTCTCCAGGGAAGCAGTAAACAAGCTTGCTCCCTCCTCCTCCCTGTGGCTTCCTCTCACATATTTATCCATGGCGATCATATCTCCTCTCAGCCTTCTCTTCTTCAGGCTAAACATGCCCAGCTCCTTAAGCCGCTCCTCATAGGGCTTGTTCTCCAGACCCTTGATCATTTTAGTCGCCCTCCTCTGGAATCAATATCTCTCTTGAATTGTGGTGCCCAGAATTGGACACAATATTCCAGGTAAAGTGGTCTAACCAAAGCAGAATAGAGCATGGGGAGCATGACTTCCTTAGATCTAGACACTATGCTCCTATTGATGCGGGCCAAAATCCCATTGGCTTTTTTTGCCGGCACATCACATTCCTGGCTCACGTTTAACTTGTTCCACGAGGACTCCAAGATCTTTTTCACACGTACTGGTCAACCCAACAACAGGGAGTAAATGTCACGCAGCCCATTGCATTTGCCCGGGAAAGACGTCGCCTCCTTCCTCGTGGCTGCTGCCCGGCAAAGGAAAAGAGTTGTGGTCATGGCTGCTGTGTCACAATTGCGGCCAAGCTGCCTTCCTCTTTTCCTCCGGCCTTCCACCTTCCCAAGCGTCACGGTTGGTGATTTACACAGGTCACGGGTTTTTTAAAATGGTTTTATCTGTTTTTATGAATTGTGTGTATAACTCTGTTTTAATGTTTGTATGCTTTGGGTTTTAATGTATATATTGTGTAAATATATACATTAAAACATGTTCAACATCTTTATTAATGACTTTGATGGTTAGAAGGCAGGATCATCAAGTTTGTAGACGACACCAAATTGGGAGGGATAGCCAATAGTCCAGAGGACAGGAGCAGGATTCAAAACGATCTTGACAGATTAGAGAGATGGGCCAAAACTAACAAAATGAAGTTCAACAGTGACAAATGCAAGATACTCCACTTTGGCAGAAAAAATGAAATGCAAAGATACAGAAGGTGACGCCTGGCTCGAGAGCAGTACGTGTGAAAAAGATCTTGGAGTCCTCGTGGACAACAAGTTAAACATGAGCCAGGAATGTGATGTGGCGGCAAAAAAAGCCAATGGGATTTTGGCCTGCATCAAGAGGAGCCTAGTGTCTAGATCTAAGGAAGTCATGCTCCCCATGCTCTATTCCGCTTTGGTTAGACCACACCTGGAATATTGTGTCCAATTCTGGGCACCACAATTCAAGAGAGATATTGACTCTAAGCTGGAAAGTGTCCAGAGGAGGGCGACTAAAATGATCAAGGGTCTGGAGAACAAGCCCTATGAGGAGCGGCTTAAGGAGCTGGGCATGTTTAGCCTGAAGAAGAGAAGGCTGAGAGGAGATATGATGAGGGCCATGTATAAATATGTGAAAGGAAGCCACAGGGAGGAGGAGGCAAGCTTGTTTTCTGCTTCCCTGGAGACTAGGACGCAATGGAACAATGGCTTCAAACTACAAGAGAGGAGATTCCATCTGAACATGAGGAAGAACTTCCTGACTGCGAGAGCCATTCAGCAGTGGAACTCTCTGCCCCGGAGTGTGGTGGAGGCTCTTTCTTTGGAAGCTTTTAAACAGAGGCTGGATGGCCGTCTGTCAGGGGTGATTTGAATGCAATATTCCTGCTTCTTGGCAGAATGGAGTTGGACTGGATGGCCCATGAGGTCTCTTCCAACTCTTTGATTCTATGTTCAGCTGTGGAACTCTCTGCCTTGGAGTGTGGCGGAGGCTCCTTCTTTGGAAGCTTTTAAACAGAGGCTGGATGGCCGTCTGTCAGGGGTGCTTTGAATGCAATATTCCTGCTTCTTGGCAGAATGGGGTTGGACTGGATAATGGCCCAGGAGGTCTCTTCCAACTCTAGGATTCTTTGATTCTATGAGAAGCCCCCCTCTCTTCCTCTCCTCCTCTCGCCTTTCTCTCTGCAGGAGCGCAGGTCCTACAAGTGGAAATGGTGGCTGTTCCTCTTCAACCTCTTCACGTTCTCCGTGGCCGCCTGCTTCTACTTCCGCCACAACTGGTACTGCGAGGCCGGAGGTAAGGCCAGCTTCTCTTGGAGCCTTTTCCCTGTCATTTGTCAATCCTCACAGACCCTTCCTGATCTTTCGATGCCCTCAGCAACCCCCCAATCTCCAAACTGATACCTTTGGGACCAAAAGTGATGTTGGGTTGCAGCTCTTAAAGCCTCCGGGTGCAACAGTTTTCCTTGCAAGTCATTTGGGAGGAACCCCCAAAGGCCATCTAGTCCAAATGACTCGGAGGGCATTTGGGGAATTGTAGTCCACAAAAGAAACTGCTGCAGAGCCTAATGGAGTATGCTTTCCCATTGCCAACGGAAGTGGAGATTGAAATGCAGTGGTTCCCAACTCAGGCCTTTCTTATGCCTCCTGCCTCGTGTTTGGTGCTCTTGTTGTGTGCCTTGGAGCCATTTCTGACTTAGGTTGACCTCACAACCTCTGAGGATGCTTGCCATAGATGCAGGTGAAACGTCAGGAGAGAATGCTTCTCGAACATGGCCATATAGCCCAAAAAACCTACAACAACCTATAATATACATATCAAATGTCTATTTTTAGTAGACTAGTAATATACACTTAGAAATTACTTTTTAGGAGATTAGTAATATACAAAGAGCCCTCGGTTGTGCAGCGCATTAAACCGCTGAGCTGCTGAACTTGCTGACGAAAAGGTCGGCGGTTCAAATTCAGGGAACGAGGTGAGCTCCTGCTGTTAACCCCAGCTTTTGCCAATCTAGCAGTTTGAAAACTGGCAAATGTGAGTAGGTCAATAGGTACTGCCTTGGCAAGGAGGTAAACAGCGCTCCATGCAGTCATGCCAACCATATGACCTTGGAGGTGTCTACAGAAATGGAGATGAACACCAACCCTCAGAGTTGGACACAACTAGACTTAATATCAGGGGAAGCCTTTACCTTTACCTTTTTAGTAATATGCATGTAAATATTTATTGTAATTATCTATTATTCTATTATTATTATTATTATTATTATTATTATTTTACTGACACAAAAACACAGTATGTCACAGCAAATGAGGTCTATATGCTATATTTCGTATCAAAAAATCACAAACACTAGTAATACTAATTATTATTATTATTATTATTATGGTTATTGATATCCTGCTTTTCCTCTCCATACAGAGACTCAAAGTGGCTCACAATTAAAAGCATTACAATGCAACTTCAAATATACAAATACAGAATCTACTCACAATAAATTTTCTTAAGGTAAAGGTAAAGGTTTTCCCCTGACATGAAGTTCATGTTAGCAAAGGCAAAGAATCGCGGAAGCACTGAATAATGGACTCTGGAGTCTCCGATAAAAAGCAGGTTTCAGATTTACTTGAGCAAAGATACAACATACACCATCAGCAGACAGATGTGAAGACCACAAAACGAAAGCGATAGGCACTTAAAACAAACTGGAAGGGAGGTTATCTCTGGCACTCCCTAAACTTCCACACGGCAAGACTTCAGGGTCACATTCTCACAGCCTTCTGTGTAAACATACATCCTGGCAACACAATTCTATTACATAAAATTACATTTAAACATACTTCATACATAAAATATACCCTGACAGTCCAATCATGTCCAACTCTGGGGGTTGGTGCCCATCTCCATTTCTAAGCCAAAGAGCCTGCGTTGTCTCTAGACACCTCCAAGGTCATGTGGCTGGCATGACTGCATGGAATGCCATTACCTTCCCCCCGGAGTGGTACCTATTGATCTACTCACTTTTGCATGTTTTCAAACTGCTAGGTTGGCAGAAGCTGGGGCTGACAGCGGAAGCTCTCACCGCTCCCCGGATTCGAACCTGCGACCTTTCGGTCAACAAGCTCAGCAGCTCAGTGCTTTAACCCACTGTGGCACTGGGGGCTCCTAAATCTTCTATATAATTAAAAATGTAATGTTTGTTTGTGGAATTAACATAACTCAAAAACCACTGGGCGAATTGACACCAAATTTGGACACAATACACCTACCAGGCCAACGGGTGACCATTACTCATAGAAACACTGAAAAACACAGCAGAAGTGACTTAAAACGCAAAAAAAAAACAACCCCAAAACATTACAATACATGCGCAAAACCACATATATACACGAACACACATATATACACACAAAACACATATACACAGACTTGGCCACAGCATGCATCCTCAAAACCACATATATACACAAACACACATATACACACATATGACATAAATATATACACACATTTATTATTATTTTTATTTACTTACTTACTATGCTTCTATACCGCCATTCTCAGCCCGAGGGCGACTCATGGCGGTTTACAAAACGGCACAATTCAATGCCCACAGCAGTACAAAAATAAATTAAACATTAAAAGCATTGAACACAGGTAAAAATTCATTACAATTAACATCAGTAACACAATAAAAACCATAAGTCCTCCACATTTCATTACCAGTCATTATCCACTCTTAAGAAATGGGGCTACAGGGTGGAATCCTCGGCATGCGAGTGCGGAGAAGAGCAAACCACTGACCACCTGCTGCAATGCACCCTGAGCCCAGCCACATGATGCACAAGGGAGGACCTTCTTGCGGCAACACCAGAAGCACTCCAAGTGGCCAGAGACTGGTCAAAGGACATTTAACCAAATACCAAATTTGCAAAATCTGTGTGTTTTTTTTTTCCTTTTTCTTTTTAATCTGTGTGTTTGTTTTGCTCTGTTAGAATTGTAATACAGGGTTAGTCAAAATGAATAGGCCAATAAGAAAATTAATTTTAGACGAATGTATGTTTATTGTAACCAAACTACAGCTACGTAGCGACAGATAAACTATCAAAGTTTTGTCTCACCTTCAGAGATGTTCGATATGGGCGCCCCGTGTGACACGGCAGATGTCCAAGCGATAGTCCAGTTCATTCCACATCCGTTGCAGCACATCCGACGTAATGGCATCGAATGCAGCAACGTCTGGGAAGGTGTTCGTTGAGGTCCTAACCCTAACCCTACCCTAACCCTAACCCTATCCCTAACCCTAACCCTAACCCTAACCCTATCCCTATCCCTAACCCTAACCCTAACCCTATCCCTAACCCTATCCCTAACCCTAACCCTAACCCTAACCCTATACCCTATCCCTAACCCTAACCCTAACCCTAACCCTAACCCTAACCCTATCCCTAACCCTAACCCTAACCCTAACCCTAACCCTATCCCTAACCCTAACCCTAACCCTAACCCTAACCCTTGAAATTCTCGCTGGACCGTAATTACTGACATTGTTTTAGCAAATGTCATCACACAAAACGCCTTCTCTTTGCTTGATTCCGCCATTTTGAAAACAGCGACCCCTAGCGACGCCTAGCGGCATTAACGTACATGTGTGTTGCTCAAAAAAAACTTTGATAGTTTATCTGTCGCTACGTAGCTGTGGTTTGGTTACAGTAAACATACATTCGTCTAAAATTAATTTTCTTATTGGCCTATTCATTTTGACTAACCCTGTACAATGGTTGCTGATGACACGATAAATAAATTATCCACTCATATATACACACACAAAACACATACACAGACTGGGCCGCAGCAACGCATGGCAGGGGGTGGCTAGTCTTATATAAATGTATATATCTATTGATACACTAATATAAATGTTTATTTATACCCCGCTTTTTCTCTCCACAGCAGAGGTTGGCAAACATTGCTTTCCCCTGAGGCTGAGAGAGTGAGAACTCCCCTCCCTTGAAGTCACACTCTCTCAGCCTCAGAGGAAGGCACGGCTGGGAGGAGATTTGGTGGCTGGGAGGGGAGGTTTCCATGGCCAAGATGTGAATTCTAGCCTCTTAGTTCAACACTCAAATGACCACGTGGGGCTGGGTCTATGTTCTGGCTCAGAGCAGCTGTGGGGTCTCTCTTTTGACCCCTTGAGTCCAAAAGGGCGGTTGGGGACCCTTTCCCGTTCTGCTTCCTCACCTGTCTCCTCCTTCCCCAGTGTACACCATCTTTGCCTTCCTGGAGTACCTGGTGGTACTCTCCAACATGGCCTTCCACTTGACCGCCTGGTGGGACTTTGGCAGCAAGGAGCTGGTGGTCAGCTCCCAGCCGGAGGAGAAGCGCTTCTAGCAGAGACCTTCCCTCGGGCCTTCGCTCCCCTCCCACCTTCTCCTCATGGCTGGACGTCCTTCAGGTCCCTCGTGAGGAGGCCTCGCCTATGTGGAGTTGGGGAGACCCCAAAGGCCATCCAGTCCAGCCCCCTTCTGCTGGTTCAAGCCTTACCCAGGTGGTCCTGGTGCCAGAGGTGAACTATGTGGTGAAATGGACCTCGGACTGACTTCTGCCCAGAGAAACGGGACACTCGTTGTGATGACGACCCAAGCGCACATCCCGCTGCCAAGCCAAGGCCAGAGGAGGGTGGAAAGAAGGCCGCCACGTCTCCCACCACGTCCCTCAAAGGCGTAAGTGGCTTCAAGGCAGTGCTGCACCTCCAAGAATCATGTCATTGACAGTGCACAGCTGTGAAGGTAAACCTGAGTGGGAAAGGTGTCAAAAATTTCCTTCCCAATCCTTAGCAGGTGATTGCAGGTGAGGAGGTATAAATAACTTCCACACAGACTATCAAGGTAGAAAATCCCACAATATCTGCTTTGAACCGGGTTATTATCTGAGTCCACACTACCATATATTCCAGTTCGTAGCAGATCATGTGGGGTTTAATTCAGCTGTGTGGAAGGTGGTCCCCAGTCTGGCCAAAGTTGGAGACCCACCTGGCTGTGGGACAAGGACCTTTCCAAGCATCTCTTCCCCTCTTAAAAGTGCTTCATGTCCTGCGGCGCACAGTGGAGCCAGAGGCCCATGTGGCCAAACCGTGTGACAGTGGCACTGCTGGCCACTGGCTGGAGTGGAGAAGGTGCAGCCGGTGCAGAACACGAGGTGGCCTTCAGGATTTGCAAATGTGAGAATGTGTGGATGTGTGGTGTGACTGAGTGGCATGAAGATTGGCCTTTCGTGCAGCCTACTAGCCATTACAACAACAATAACAATAATAATTTAATGTATTGTCGAAGGCTTTCATGGCTGGAATCACTGGGTGGTTGTAGGTTTTTTCAGGCTATATGGCTATGGTCTAGAGGCATTTTCTCCTGACGTTTTGCCTGCATCTATGGCAAGCCTCCTCAGAGATAGAGAGGTCTGTTGGAACTAGGGAAATGGGTTTATATATCTGTGGAATGACCAAGGTGGGACAAAGGACTCTTGTCTGCTGGAGCTAGGTGTGAATGTTTCAACTGACCACCTTGATTAGCATTTGATGGCCTGGCAGTGCCTGGAGCAAACTTTTGTTGTGTGGTGATTAGATGTCCTTGTTTGTTTCCTCTCTGTTGTTGTGCTGTTGTAATTTTAGAGGTTTTTTTTTAATACTGGTAGCCAGATTTTGTTCATTTTCATGGTTTCCTTCTTTCTGTTGAAATTGTCCACATGCTTCTTGTGTATTTCAATGGCTTCTCTGTGTAGCCTGACATGGTGGCACTGCAGACTACTTTAACCAGAGAAGTCAGCCAGAGCAGAGCACCTGATGAACCAACCTGGACACAGCATTTTATTTGAGAACACAGAAATGCTGGACCACTCTCACAACCACCATGTCAGACTACACAGAGAAGCCATTGAAATCCACAAGCATGTGGACAATTTCAACAGAAAGGAGGAAACCATGAAAATGAACAAAATCTGGCTACCAGTATTAAAAAAACTCAAAAATTAGAACAGCACAACAACAGAGAGGAAACAAACAAGGGCATCTAATCACCTCTCAACAAAAGATTGCTCCAGGCACTGCCAGGCCATCAAATGCTAATCAAGGTGGTCAGTTGAAACATTCATACCTAGCTCCAGCAGACAAGAGTTCTTTGTCCCACCCTGGTCATTCCACAGATATATAAACCCATTTTCCTAGTTCCAACAGACCTCACTACCTCTGAGGATGCTTGCCATAGATGCAGGCGAAACGTCAGGAGAGAATGCCTCTAGACCATGGCCATATAGCCTGAAAAAACCTACAACAACCCAATAATAATTTATTTATTTGACTAGTCATATGACCATTTCAAAATACAACACAAATAAAAGACAAAAATGAGAGGACAGCAGCTGACCTTCTGTTTACAGTCAGAGTCTTATTTTCCTGGTTCTTCTTTCAGGAAATCCGCTCTTTTCTTGATGGCTTTCCGAATAAAAAGGCTGACTCTGATGATGGTGGATCTTTCTTGTCCTTGCAAGAGGAATGTCAGAAGATCATTTATGTTGGGGAACCTGCAGTTGGATAATATCGGATGTAAATATCTGTATCACAGTTTAGCATATACTAGCCATCCTCATGCGTGTGAAGGCACACACGACAATGGCTATTAACCTGCTCCATCGGCTCTTCATGCAAACCAGGTGAGAGAGATGGTGTGGGTCAGTTTCCCTCCAAACTAGATGTTTGGAGGGAAACTAAAATGATCAAGATGTGGGGAATGCCGTGGATGGAGCGTACCTGGATTTCAGGAAGGCCTTCTTTGACAAGGTCCCCCATGACCTTCTGGCAAGGAAACTAGTCCAATGTGGGCTAGGCAAAACTACGGTGAGGTGGATCTGTAATTGGTTAAATGGACGAACCCAGAGGGTGATTCTCACCAATGCTTCCTCTTCATCTTGGAAAGAAGTGACAAGTGGAGTGCCGCAAGGTTCTGTCCTGGGCCCGGTCCTGTTCAACATCTTTATTAATGACTTAGATGAAGGGCTAGAAGGCAGGATCATCAAGTTTGCAGACGACACCAAATTGGGAGGGAGAGCCAATACTCCAGAGGACAGGAGCAGGATTCAAAACGATCTTGACAGATTAGAGAGATGGGCCAAAACTAACAAAATGAAGTTCAACAGGGACAAATGCAAGATACTCCACTTTGGCAGAAAAAACGAAATGCAAAGATACAGAATGGGGGAGCCTGGCTCGAGAGCAGTACGTGTGAAAAAGATCTTGGAGTCCTCGTGGACAACAAGTTAAACATGAGCCAGGAATGTGATGTGGCGGCAAAAAAAGCCAATGGGATTTTGGCCTGCATCAATAGGAGCATAGTGTCTAGATCTAGGGAAGTCATGCTCCCCATGCTCTATTCCGCTTTGGTTAGACCACACCTGGAATATTGTGTCCAATTCTGGGCACCACAATTCAAGAGAGATATTGACAAGCTGGAATGTGTCCAGAGGAGGGCGACTAAAATGATCAAGGGTCTGGAGAACAAGCCCTATGAGGAGCGGCTTAAGGAGCTGGGCATGTTTAGCCTGAAGAAGAGAAGGCTGAGAGGAAATATGATAGCCATGTATAAATATGTGAGAGGAAGCCATAGGGAGGAGGGAGCAAGCTTGTTTTCTGCTTCCCTGGAGACTAGGACGCGGAACAATGGCTTCAAACTACAAGAGAGGAGATTCCATCTGAACATGAGGAAGAACTTCCTGACTGTGAGAGCCGTTCAGCAGTGGAACTCTCTGCCCCGGAGTGTGTGGAGGCTCCTTCTTTGGAAGCTTTTAAACAGAGGCTGGATGGCCTTCTGTCAGGGGGTGATTTGAATGCAATATTCCTGCTTCTTGGCAGAATGGGGTTGGACTGGATGATCCAGGAGGTCTCTTCCAACTCTAGGATTCTATGATTATCAGGACCCCAACATCCCCAGGGAAAGAATCCAGCGAAGAGACCCTTCAAAGCTTCCTCGAGTGCAATACCTGTTCACCTTTTTGTTGCCCGTCAGGTCATCACCTGAATATCCACATGTCATCCTTCCCTCCTTCATCCAGATGCCCATTCCCTGAGCTGAAGCTGCCCATCATGGGCATGACCATTGAAAAATGATGGTTCAGTTGCATCCTGGGTAGTGGAGATCCCATAAAGTGTATGGGTTTATAGCAGAAGTGGTGTTGCACTCCAGGACAGGAAAAATCCTCTGATTTTAAACACCACCCATTGACTAGGAAAACAATCCTTTTATTGAAGTTAAGTAAAAAGCATCTTAATAAAAAGCACTTAAAAGGAATAGGCAAATCCAATTAGGTAAGAAGATAAGCAGGAGCACATTAATCCAAGGTCGAGTTCAGCCAAGTCCATAAAGCAAAGTCCACACTTCTCTAATATAATCCAGAAAAATGGGAATACATTGATCTAAGGCTTGGATGAGCAATCAGTCAATCCAGGAATCAAAAACCATGACACAACAAATATCTTAAGATGAATCTTCAAAGCAGAGCTTCCATGAAACAAGGACAAGAACTTGGCGTGATTCTAAATGATGCTTCATCTGACTACATATCCCAAAGTTGAGACATTGTCTCACTAGCTATGTCACTAGCAGTCAGAAATTGGTTGTAATTGAGGCTTTATTACTGTTTTTTGTCAAAGCTGGGCCAATCGGCGAAGCAACTCTTCAGCCCTCCTGTTTTGGCTAATCTTTTCTCTCCTATCTCTTGGCTCGTTATCTACCTGCTCATTAATTTCTGCAGAGCTTCCATGAAACAAGGACAAGAACTTGGCGTGATTCTAAATGATGCTTCATCTGACTACATATCCCAAAGTTGAGACTTATTGTCTCGTTAGCTAGGCCACTAGCGGTCAGAAACTGGTTTCTCTTTCATTCAGGCTTTATTATTGTTTTCTGTGAAGCCGGGCCGATCGGCGAAGCCACTCTTCAGCCCTCCTGTTTTGGCTTATCTCTTCTCGCCTATCTCTTGGCTTGTATCTACCTGCTCATTAATTTCTGCAGAGCTTCCATGAAACAAGGACAAGAACTTGGCGTGATTCTAAACGATGCTTCATCTGACTACATATCCCAAAGTTGAGACTTATTGTCTCGTTAGCTAGGCCACTAGCGGTCAGAAACTGGTTTCTCTTTCATTCAGGCTTTATTATTGTTTTCTGTGAAGCCAGGCTGATTGGCAAAGCCACTCTTCAACCCTCCTGTTTTGGCTTCTCTCTTGGCTCGTTATTTACCTGCTCATTAACTTCTGCAGGTGCTGAGCTAACTTTCTGTCCTCTCTCTCTCATGGGAACCCTCTGGTAACAATTCAAGCACACCATCATCCCCACACCCCTCAGGGACATTCTCCTGGGAAACTACAGGGATCTCCTGGTCATTTTCTGCATTGAGATCCCTGACCAAAACATTGTCATCTTGAAACTCATTTTGGACCTCATTGACACCTTGATCCTGAAACACAATCACAGGCTGAGCTCCCAACAGGTGGGCAGAGAGAAGGTCCATGGAGCCGGGTTGTTTAATGCAGACATGAGCAAACTTTGGGCCTCCAGGTGTTTTGGACTTCAACTCCCAGAAACCCCAGCCAGCTTACCAGCTGGCTGGGGTTTCTGGGAGTTGAAGTCCAAAACACCTGGAGGGCCACAGTGGAAGAGACGTGGGCTGTCTTTTGTGGTTTGCACAGATGTGAGTGTGTGAGTGGTGTGGACAGAAATATAATAATGGGATAGAGGGACGTGCAGAATCACCTTTTGCAAGTGGCGAGACTCTGGGGCCA